AAAAAAAAAAAAAAAAGCATAAATATATCACCCAATAGACAGGGTTGCTTCTCTCATCCTCTGAGAGAGGACAGAGTGTCAGTAACTGTGTTGTAACTTGTGTCAGTAATTGTGTCATAACAGTGTGGGGCATACACAGTGACACAGCCAGCTGTAAGAAGCCTGTGCTGGGCAGGGCTGTGTTGCAGGAAAGCACCGAGTTTTTCTTTTTTAATTTTGTGGGAAATATATTTATAACAAAAAAATTATACCATTTTAACCATTTTTAAGTGTTCTATTCAGTGATATTCAGTACAATCACCAAGTCATGCACTGTGACCACTATACATCTCCAACTGTTCTTCATCACCCTAAACAGAAACTCATCTTCATGGGCAAATCCCCATTCCTCCCCACCCTCCAGCCCCTGTTCTTGTTGTGTGCCTTTGAGTCAATTTCAACTCATAGTGACCCTATAGGACAAAGTAGAACTTCCCCCATAGAGTTTCCTAGGCTGAAATCTTTAAGGGAACAGGTTACCAGGTCTTTTCTTCCACAGAGTGGATGGTGGGTTCAAACTGCTGACCTTATGGTTAGCAGCCGAGCATTTAACCACTGCACCACCAGGGCTCTTTTCCAGCCTCTAGTAACCATTGATGAATGTTTGTCTCTAGCATTTTTCTATTTTACATTTGCCTATTTCATATATAAACTCACTACCGTCAACTCGGATCCAACTATTAGGAACCCCTCCTCGGGTTTCCAAGGTAGTATCACTACAGAAGTAGATTGCCCAACCTTCTTCCCAAGAAGTGGCTGGTGGGTTTGAACTGCCTTAGGTACTACACCACCAGAGTTCCTCAAAAACCAAACATACTGCCTTCAAGTCGGACCTGACTCATAGCAACCCCTCCTTGGGTTTCCGAGGTGGTATCACTACAGAATTAGATTGCCCAACCTTCCTTCTGAGGAGTGACTGGTGAGTTTGAACCACCAGCCTTCTGGTTAACAGTCAAATGCCTTACGCACGACACCACCAGAGCTCCCTATTTCACATAAATGGGAGCATATACTATTTGTCCTTTTGTACCTGACTTATTTCACTCAGCATAATGTTTTCACGGTTCATCCATGTCATAGGATGTATCAGAACTTCATTTTTCTTTATGGCTGAGTACTATTCCATTGTACAGATATACTACATTTTGTTTATTCATTCATCTGTTGTTGGGCACTTGGGTTGTTTCCACCTTTTAGCCATTGTGAATAATGCTGCAATGAGCAGTGGTGTACAAGTGTTTGTTTGAATCCCTGCTTTCAGTTCTTTTGGGTATATATGTAGGAATGGAATTGCTGGGTCAGTTGGTAATTCTTTGTTTAACTTTTTGGGGAGCCACCAAACAGTTTTTCAACATACTGCTTTTTATGTATTTGCAGACAGTTTTATCAGTATCGGATCCTATTCCTGCCTGCACGGCAGCTGCTGGGCTTCTTAGCAAACAGATCTGCTGCTTAAAACTCATTTCCCTCAAGTAGATTCTACCACTAGGAGTTAAGGGAGGAGTGGAAAGTGCCTTTATCCTGGGCTCACCAGAATCTACGAGGCTTCCTGTGGCTGCTGTGTACCTGGGGTACACCCAAACCCAGTAAACCCTGTCCTTACTCCCATTTGTCCTTTTCCTGTTATTAACATCCTCACTAACCCATTGAATCCAAGACAGGGACTCAGGAGTCATCGTTTCTGCCTCCTCTCCCTCGCCCACCTCGAAGTGGTCATCAAGCCTTATTACCGATTTTGCTTTGACTGAAACTCTACTAACTGACCCCTTACTTTCCATTCCTTTTGTCACTTACCCTTGGATTGTCTCACCCATCTTTAGCTGACCTTTCCTGTTCAGCTTCTAACCTTTTAATCCCTTAATTAGAGATCTTCAATGGGTCCTTTTTTTAATCTAATATCTAACTGTCAAAATTCCTTAGCACAGCATTCAGGGCTTGTCACAGTTTGGGTCTAATTTTCTTCAGCTCTGGGAACGTATTGGTCCCAGTGATCTCATGCTAGCCCCCCTTTCAGCCTCGCTGCACCTAATGGGATTCCCAGAGCCCACTGTCATGTCCACACCTTGGTACCTGGCCTTGTGCACCTGCTCCATCTATCCACCCATGGCAACCTTCTCACACATCTCTTCTCTGAGTGGAAAACTCGGACTCATGCTTTAAGATGTCTCATTTACTACTTCTATTGTGAGCTATGTCCCTCTCCTACCAGAAGGAATTAATTGTTCCCTCCTGTGTTCTTCTTGCAGCCCTTGGTTTGTACTTCCATCATGCCACTTGTATTATACAAGAGTTGTTGATTATGTGTGTATATGTGTATGTGTTGTGTGTGTATTTTTTTTTTTTTTCTTAAGTATTCATTGAGTGCACCAGGCTAGGCACAATGGTGAACCAAATCAGCCTGGTCCTTGTCATCATGGAACTTATAGTCTAGGAAATACCTGTATCTGCATTACAGGATGAGTTCCTGGGAGATACAGATCATCTTTGTGTACTTGACGCCTGTTACAGCCCCTGACACAGTAGTCAGTTGCTCAGTGAATGGTCATCAAGTAAACACCAATGAGCAGAGATCAATGCCAGAGTGAAGGATGGGGAAGGGGTGGATGGATTACTTACGGGTACAGGGTAAGTAAGAACCCTGGAAAAGTCACATTCTACCCTCAGCCCATTCTTTCTATGTGGTTAGCCCATATGGACCATCTAGGAACTGTCAGGCACAGTCTGAGCCTTGATCTAAGCTTTTATCACAGACAGTCTGGAGCCCTGGAGAGCCTGGATTGCAAACACCATGAACAGCTTATAGCCCATACAAGTTCTTCTTGAAGGAAACCTCACTCAGTCTCACCAAAGTCTGATCGCTCATGCCTTGAGTCATTTCTTTCAGGGGGATGGCCTATCACATGCTCCTATTTGTTTCTTTCAGAGATCTTAAACTGGATAACGTCCTGCTGGACCATGAGGGCCACTGTAAATTGGCAGACTTCGGAATGTGCAAGGAGGGGATCTGTAATGGTGTCACCACGGCAACATTCTGTGGCACACCCGATTATATTGCTCCAGAGGTGAGTGCAATGACTTGGTGCAGCTTTTGAAATTCGATCTCCATAGTTACCCCAACCGGAAATACCTTAGACTGCTTTTGCTCTCCAGCTTTGTGGGCTGGGCAGGAAAGCTGAGGTCTCCAGGGCAGCTCACTAATGGTTCATTGTTTGAATGATGGCTGAAAATGTCCTAGTACTTCTAAATAGGAATTTGAGTTTGTTTGTTTGGTTTTTCAGCTTTGCACTTATTCTAGGCTTTAGTCATGAATAAGGACAAAATGTACTCCAGTTAAAACTATTTATTTTTCTTTTAGTGATTTAATCCTGGCTCCACTTAGCAGAACTACAGAAGAGCTCTTGAATTTTTCCTATATGAATGAGCCTCGTCTCTACCTTATACCAGTTCCAGTTGCTGCCCAGGCAGTTCTGATTCAGGATGACCCCACGTATGTCAGAGCAGAGCTGTGCTCCATGGGGTTTTTAATGGCTGATTGTTCAGAAGTCAGTCACCAGGCCACTCTTCCAAGATGCACTCTACCCTTCAGTCTTTCAGTTAGCAGCCAAGGGCATTAACCATTTTGTGTCACCCAAGGACTCTCCTTTTCCTTATAGATTGATATATTTCCAAAACTCTTTCTGATTTGGAACATTACATGCCCTTACCTTGTCCTTCCATGACCATTGGCTAAGCAGATGATAACTGTTTGAACAGACCCAGGTGAGAAGCTACTCTGCATTGACCACAAGGAAGACAGACCATTCCATAGAGGTGGAATGAAACACATATGCCAGCAAGGAGACTTCATTTACTTATTTTGATATTTCCTGATCCATCATTTTCCGTAGTTGTTATGAGCAGAACATCACACTTACTATAAGATGCACACAGCATTTCTCCTGTCATCCCCTTTACACAGATCCTGCAGGAAATGCTCTATGGACCTGCCGTGGATTGGTGGGCAATGGGTGTGTTGCTCTATGAGATGCTCTGTGGGCACGCACCCTTTGAGGCAGAGAATGAAGATGACCTCTTTGAGGCCATACTGAATGATGAGGTGGTCTACCCTACTTGGCTCCATGAAGATGCCACCGGGATCCTAAAATCTGTAAGTTTGGCTTCTCCCACCAGCTTTGAACCTACTGCAAACCAGCTTGATGTATGTGTTACTTGTGTCTTTTTTAATACCTCCGCACAGCAAGCTACCAGCTCTAACCAGAATTTGTGTTTTTTTAACTTAAAGGAGCAAAGAACTAGAGTTCTGTTAGGCTGTGTCCTATCTTATGCAATACTTACTTCTAGGCCAATTGCAATAGAAATTGATAGCTTTGTTTGCCATATATCAAGTATTTTTACCACTTGGGGCTTTAGTTTAAATATGGGGCTGCTCCCTTGACTCAGTTCACAGCAAACTATCTGCAGGTCTAATATGATAATTGTGTTTCCATGAGCACTGTCCAAGGAACAGGGTAAAGGGACTTTTCTCTTAATACTAGGAGAGGAGAAGGGGTTTTTTCCAAACCTCTAGTTCTTTTTTGCCTTCATGTTATTTCTTGTACAAGGCTAAGGATTCAGATGTCAGATGTATAATGTCAAGGAGGTCTTTTCTGTATGTTTTCAAGCTCTGTGTTGAAAGTCTTACTTTGAAGTGAGGAAGAAACATGGAATTGGTGCCTTTATGTTGAAAATTAAGATATCACACATAATTTGGGTCAGTTCTGCACCCATATTAAAAACCAAAACCAAACTGTTGCCATCAAATTGATTCTGACTCACAGCAAACCTATAAGGCAGAATAGAACAATCTCATAGGGGTTCTAAGGCTGTAATCTTTACAGAAGCCCACTGCCATATCTTTCTCCCATGGAGCAGCTTGTAGGTTTGAATCATTGATCTTTTGGTTAGCAGCCAGGTACTTAACCACTGTGCTACCAGGGTTCCTCATAATCACATTAAAAAAAAAAAAAAAAAAACTCATTGCCATCGAGTCTGTTCAACTCATAGCAACCCCTCCTTGAGTTTCTGAGGCAGTATCTCTATGGAGGTAGATTACCGTGGGAGTGGCTGGTGGGTTTGAACTGCCAGCCTTCTGGTTAGCAGTCAAATGCCTTACGCACTACTCCACCAGAGCTCCCCATAATCACATTAGTTGAGATCGAAAAGCATATATTATCACCTGTTATGTGCACAAGGGTATAAAGATGAGTAAAAGAAAAGAATAAAAGATCAGTTCTTCAAGCAAGGGAAAATCAGAACTATCCATGTAAATAAATAGTATCTATGTGATAAGAATTGATACTATTTATTTACATGTATAGTTCTGATTTTCCCTTGCTTGAAGAACTGATCTTTTATTCTTTTCTTTTCTTCATAGTATCTGTGTGATAAGAATTGGGAGCTCTGGTAGCATAGTGGCTAAGGCACTTGACTGCTAACCAGAAGGCTGGCAGTTCAAACCCTCCAGCCACTCCTCGGAAGGAAGATGGGACAATCTACTTCCGTAGCGATACTGCCTCAAAAACCCAAAGAGGGGTCGCTATGAGTTGGGTCTGACTCGACAGCACATAACAACAACAACAACAACATGTGATAAGAATTACTTTTCTTCAAGTCATATGCAAGTCATCTCCAGCCATATAATTGGTACCATTTCAAGAACATTTGATATGCAGGTCACTTTGTACTGGGTCTGAAGGGAGTGTTGTCCCTAAGAATTCTCTGCATCACTACAAGAAAAATAAACACAGAACTCTTTCTCAGGCACGTATTGCCCAAGTGTACTGTAATTCATGATTCATAACTTGATTCTCAAGCCTAGCTGCCAGTACTTTCCTGAAATCGAGGAAGCACACAACTCAAATAAAAGTGAATTACTTTGAGATTCTACCAAAATGTCTCCTATCTAGCATGTTTTCCTAGGAACAGTTTCTTTGTATATTTAGTGGAAGGTTTAGACTAAGGAAACCAAGAATGTGGCTTTTGTATTTTAATGACTAGAAAAATCAGGGAAAAGGGCTTGTCTTTGTGAATTTGTGCCATGAAGTTTCTTAACTTCCTGAAAGGAAATTTACTCACCTGGTTTACCCATGGCCAATCTACCTCGATGCTCTGGACTGTGATAACACAACCGTGCTTCAGAGTCTGGATTGCTTTGTTCCATGGCCAGAATCTGTTGCTTGGTGACTTTCAAGGCATTTCAACCTCCCGTGGCTTGCAACAACCAGAGTTGTAATTCTAATGTTTTTCATGATGAGCGTATTTAATCCTATTACTATTTTTTTTATTGTTGTGAAAACATACACAACATAACATAAAGCAGTTCAACAATTTCTACATGTCTAATTCAGTGACATTGATTCCATTCTGCATATTGTGCAACCATTCTCACTGTCCTTTTCTGTAGTCTTCCACCACCATTAACATAAACTCACTGTCCTCTAAGCAAAAACTCCTTTTACCCCCAACCCTCTTACCCCTGGTAATCACTAATAATTCTTGGTTTCCTTCTAGTTCCTTAGAGCCCTGGTGGCACAGTGGCTAAGCACTCAGCTGCTAACCAAAAGGTCAGTGGTTCAAACCCACAAGTTGCTCCACAGGAGAAAGGTGGAAGTCTGCTTCCGTAAAGACATACAGCCTTGGAAACCCTATGATGGTTCCACTCTGTCCTATAGCATCGCTATGAGGTGGAATCAATGTGATGGCAGTGGGTTGATGTATTTGCTTATGTCATTTAAGTGAGATCATATAGTAATTGTTCTTTATGATAGGTAATTTTGCTCGGCACAATGTTTTCAAGGTTCATTTATCTTGTGGAATGTATCAAGTCTTCATTTCTTTTTATAGCTGAGTATTATTCCATTGTATGTATATACCACATTTTGTTTATCCATTCATCTCTTGATGGACATTTCAGTGATTTTTACCTTTCAACTATTGTGAATAGGGCTACAGTGAACACTGGTGTATAATTTAGCATTTTTAATATTTAAAATGTAAAAGAAGAACCCCAGAATTTATAATTCAAATGACAATGCTAGTTTAGCCTATAGAAATACAGGTATTTGTGGTGTTGGCCTTGGTTTGTAAAGGTCACTATGTTTGGTACTGTTGTTGTTGTTGTTGTTATTTGCCGTCGAGTTGACCCCAACTCATAGCGACCCCTCCTTGGGTTTCCGAGACAATATCACTACGGAAGTAGGATTGCCCAACCTTCCTTCCGAGGAGTGGCTGGTGGGTTTGAACCACCAGCCTTCTGGTTA